TGGCCTGACCCGGCCTGACCCGACCCGCGCGCCTCTCTCGGCAGAGCCTGGACAACCTGAAGGAGGGCAAGCACAACCTGCGCGTGCGGCCCGCCGACATCCCCATCGCCGAGCGCGCCTCCCTCAACTACTGGCGGACGCGCAAGTGCATCAGCAAGCCCTGCGCCGAGTGCCCGCTCAAGAGCCCGGCCTTCACCGGTGAGCGGGGCTCGTCTGGCCCGGCCGGCCGGGGGCCCGCAGGGTCGCGCGCTTCCTCCGCGCTGGTTGGTCGACTTCAGCACCCGCCCTGGCAGCCTACCGACGTGCTCTTTCTCTTTCCATTAGGGCTACACGAGAAGGCTCCTCTCGGGCTAATGGACACCCCCTTATTGGACACAGAGGAGGAAGTGCATTACTGCTTTCTGCCGTTAGACCTGGTGGAAAAATACCCCCCTCTGGTCAACGATGACAACTTGCTCTGGCTGTCGGACAACACTGTGCTCATAGAATGCGAAAGCAGTGAATTCCGCTTCATTGGTAAATCTTTCCCTGAGGAAGCAGAAGGCAGCAAGAAAGAAACCTGGTCTTTCTTTCCTGTATGTCTGCAGAGTCCTGCAGGGCAGCCTCAGAAACGTGGGTGGCATTGAAAAAATGGGGTTAGTGAGCTTCAGTTCTGGCCGTGGGCTGAACAGGTCCGATTTTTATGGATCAGTCCGAAGGATAACCCTGTAGCAGAGTGTTGAGACTTTGGAGGCCAAGTACTTGGTAGTGCCGAGAACGTAAAGCATGAGTATAACAAAGGAGCTGCTGGGCAATTAAAAAACAAACAGCATTTTCAGATGCGTACTATAGATTTAAAACCAGAGAAAATGAAAAGCAGAACTTTGTCAATTTGTGCAGAGGAAGGGACTGTAGAATTAAATAGTTAAGACAAAAGATACACAAATGAAATATATTTCTGGATGAATCTTCAGGTAGTGGGCAGAAGGTCCTCGAACCCCCAAAAATCTGAGAAACTTCTGATGTCCATTTTTTAAATTAAAACTATATATCAAGTGGTTGTATTTTATGACAGAATACTGAATGTGATATATTCTAAAGCTTTTCTTCTAAGTGGTGGCCAGAGTAGGAACGGGAATTGGCTTCTGGGAAGTTCTGTGATGGGTCCTGCCAAATGTGAAGCTTTGTTCGGTACCATTGGTCTGTTTACTGAACTGTGAAGTATAATGAGGAAATGGGAAAAAATCTATATTTTCCAAAATATAGAATATCGTTATATAATTGTATTAACATTTAATAGAGGAGAACTTCATGAAAAGAGGTTACAATTCCCGTTTCCATAGTGCCAAAATATTGTTTGATTTATATTATATATAACAAAATGAAACAAATCCTAATTTCTGATTCTAATTCCTAATAACCCCATTTCTTAAACCCTAATGACTGAGGGTGCTTCCAGAGGAGGCTTTTTTTCATGCAACTATCCACCCTTGTTTGTGGAATTTTATAGGTGGTTCAGAATTGTCTTCCACTTGTAACTTTCCCTGCCTCTTCTTTCATTACTTTCTTTCTAAGAGAAAACAAATAATGCAAGAAAGGACGCAGTAGCTCTCTAGCATCTTTTGACTGAGAGCACCTAGAGCTGCCATTTCTCAGTTCCTTAAAAGGAACTGTTGCTTGTACAAAAACAGTGGTTGTTGGATCTCTCTTTGTCTCCTCTCGATTAAGATTTGCTGGTTTACCAAGTCTAGGATTGTGTGTATTTATCCTAGAATGATTGTTACAATTATTAGCCTAGGCTATGTTTCAAATTCTGTTTCTTCCCATCAGTTTTCTCTCCATTGTTTCCATGTCCACCCCTTGTCCATATGTCTCTAGGAATCCCCATTTTTGCTTTCCCCGAAGTCACTTGAAATACACATATATAACATGAAACTCAATGGCAGAAGCCAAAACACCATGCTACATTCTCAGGTTATTTACTTTCTGGTGTGTATTTTTTTTAAACAACTAGCCAATTTTCTTCGCTCAGAGAAGATTCTTTTGCCTGATAACTTCTCCAGCTTGGATACTTTGGAAGCTGAAGCTGAATCATTGGGGATCCCCAAGGTCATAGAAGCAGTGAAGATCTTCAGGAGTAACCCAGGTGTAGTTTTTATGACATTTTAAGTTCTTTGTTAATTAATTTCTGTGTAAAAGGGATCACTTGGGCTTTCTTTAATTACAAAGAGTAATGATAGCTTAGTCACACTCATTAGGAAATTGTAGGGAATTACTTGGAATCTAAGCTGTAATAAATAATCAGAATTATTTGTTACTAAAATCGAAGTATATTGTGTGTACATTTGTATGCAGTTATTCTTTTTTTTTTTGTTGCTGTTGTTAAATGGCCAAATGAAGCAGATAAATAATAACTTTTTCTACACTTCAGACTGATTTACCTCTTCTTCCAGGGAACCACAGAAATGACTGAGTTATAATGTTTAGAATACCATGTCAAACTAGAGACATTCTTTTGAATACCTCTACTGGGTCTCCACAATACTGGTACCTCTGTTTCCATTCTTCAGCCTACTTACTCAATTCCTGCCCAATTTAAATATGTATTTTATGACTGTCACCAAATAGAACCAGATGGCCCGTACACTCAGTTCTCCTCTGTGTTGATCCCTCCTATTCCCTGCCCATGACTTGAGTCTGTCCTTCTGATTATAATAATTAATTTGGAAACTTTGAGCATATGCAAGCCTGCTTGGAGGCTCAGAATGCAGGATGTGCAAAACATTCTGAGCTTGAAATGTACTCATTTCTAGTGTTCTGCACTCAAAACACTCTGAACTTTTGCCCCAAGGTCAGGACAAAATGGGCCATTTTGTTTTGGAAGTTCCACCATAGGCAATAATAGGAATTCAAAACAAGCCCCTGCTCCAGCATATTTCAGATGTGGTAGGGCATACTGAATATTGTTTAGTACCAAATTTATAGAAAATTGGACAATGAGATGATTACTTAAGCAAATATTTATATTCCCATACCAAAAAAGAGAAATAAAAATAGTTATGCTATTTGTAGCTAGCATATTTTTTGCAGCCTGTCTGTATTTTTTTTTTAGTCAAACGATCCTTTTGGCTAATTTTTCTGTAAACTGAAAGGAGGGAGCACTTAGCTGACCCTAACAGATCAGCCTTTTGGGCAAAAAAGTGGAGGATCAAGGGCTTATTTTGAGTTCCTGTAGTTTGCTGTGGTAAAGCACATAAAAAAACAGTTCAAATTTTATTTCAGTGTGCTAGAATGTACTAGTGACATCTCTGAATTTGTTTTGAGCTTAATAAAAATGTGCAGGGGGTTTTCATTTTGTTGAAAAACACTGCCGGAATAGGAGCATACAGTATGGAGATCCTTGCAGATTTATAGATCTGTGCTTCCTCTCTTGAGCCTCCTGCTTGGACTTGACAGCCAAAAATATAATATCTATTTCAAAACCACTGGGCAAAGAATCCTAATAATGTTCCTGTACTGAAGGAAGAGTAAGAGCCTTTTTAAAAATGTATTTACTAGCATTACTAATATTCAGTTGTTATGCTTTGGTTTTAAAATGGAACACAGCTCGGATCTTTATTTGAGCTAGATGATAATACAGAGAAGCATAAAGCATGTTCAGCTTTTTTAATGTTAATGTCTTGTTTGGGCATTTTTCTTTAGGCATATGTTCAAGTGAGGCCTCTAATTCTCAAAGCTGTCACAGGAGCACGACGGCACAGCAGCAGAGTGTTCAGGATGCGTCAGCACTTCTTCCTTTGTACCCTATGGTGCTTGGACTCTTAGTCAAATACCCTGACTCAGCTCTGGGGCAGCTCCACATGGAGAGTACCCTAGATGGGAACAAGCTCTATATATCAGGGAATGGAGTTCTCTTTCAACATGTCATGTACGTCCCTTGGAAAGTTTGATTGTACTTGTTTCTAGGCAGTAGTTTGTGAGGAAGACATTTGAGATGTGTATACAAACCCAATCTTCCATTATGGCATAACAATGTGAAGGAAGTGCTTTCCAGATAGCTAGCCACAGCAGCTCGATGGGATGGCACCAGAGTAATTCCTATTTTATAGTGAAAAAATTCTCAATTTAAATTACACTACCCTGCTCACATTTATTACAACTTGTGTCATCCAGTCAGTTTAGTGTTTATGGCCATTTGCATTTTCTTTCCTTTTTCTGGCCTCAGCAATTGGCCCAATATTTGCTGAATCAAGAAGGTGAATGAAGCAAGGATGGGACAGTGAGCAGTAAGGTAGGTCTGTAGCCAGGAATATCAGGACTAGCAGCCAAGCCCAATTGTTTCAAGAAGCTGGGTAAATTATCTAATACAATATGCACCTCTGACAGAGGATGGCATGTATCATTGGAAGAGGAGCCATCTTTTATCCCCGATGTGAGCATCATGATTAGATTCTGTTGTAGTTTTGTAGGGAGCAGGAGTGGCCAGACCATGTGCTGCAGAGTTTGGTTCCTGAGTATATCTTGCTGTGATGTGAACTGTGGTTGCTGGTTGGTAGCTGTTCTAGGGTGATTGGAAGCAAATATAGCTCTACTATCCAAGGTCCACAGAAGGGAAGCATGACTGGCCAGGATGGGCTATAGCAGCAGGACAAACTGCTTTTAGCTGAGAGCTAGGAACAGTGAGCAGCAGTCTGTTGTTTTCCCTTCGGGATCTGTTTTCTAGTAGGCTGCTCCCAGGACCAGTGTGGACCATGTGGAGTGTTTTTAACTTCTTTGAGTGCGTATTGTACTTTTAGGAATGCCCGATTGAAATCTCAGTTGTGTGCCTCTTGTCAGATGGAGCTGAATAGATGGAGTTATATCATGGGACTAAGCTGTACAGAGTGCATTTGGTGGTGCCCTCTAGTAAGTATGTGTACTATTCAGGGGTACTTTTAAGGCCACTGGATGGTTTTATAGGAATGTCTAGAAAATGAACCTGTTGCATGGGCTAGTCTAAAATCAGATTGATGTAATTGAAGTCCTACTGGAATTTGGCCAGGCTATCTTGTCCATGTCTCCAAATAATAAAAATTTAATCAGTGCATCTTAGGTAAGTAAAAGCTTGGTATATGTGTTTGTGTGGAGTTTTCTAAATCAGCTCTTAAGACATTGCTATAATGTGGGCATGCTAGAGTCTGTGGCTATGCTGTTGGTCTGGAAAGACCTATTCTCCAAACTGAAGTAATTGTTAGTGACTGTACATTTTCAGAACATGGTGACTAGATAATATGCAGACCATTAGGGATGGTATTCCTGATAGTTTGTGCCATACCCTTGGGTAAGTGGGTTATAGCCTCATTAGGAAGTCAGTGTTTTCTCATAAATTCTCATAAATACGTACTACATTATTACGTATAGGCTGCTACTCAAGAAAGTAAAAAACAGAACAAAGGGGTTAAATTGATACCCAGGAATAGTCTTCAACAAACCTTTTTATCCTTATCCACCTGTCATTGTTGTTTCATTTTGCATATTTTTAATTTGCTTGTCCCCTTTATTGGCACGGCCCATGTACCCTTAAACCCATCTACTTATTTGGTCCTAAATTATGCTTTCTACATCCTATTGTACTTTACTTAAGTAGACTTGCCAGCCAAGGCCTAGCTTCTGCATGGAGCCCCAACCAGTGTTTTAACCCTATGAGAAAGAAGGTTCATCTAACTTTTCAATATTCTGTGTAATCAGGAAGTGAAAGTACACTGCTAACAGTATATCTTAAGCAAGGTTCAATAGCAAACTAATATGCATATAACAAGAAGGATCTGTATCATTGTTTTTTTAAAGCAGAGTAAAAATGTTAGGGAATCTGATTTATGCATATAAAGAAGAAAAACAATAGGAAGAAAGTCCATGTATAACTGAAACAATAGAAAGAAAATCCATTAGATGTCTTAAAATAGGATAGGTAAAAAAGTAGCTGCATTTCTGGCAAGTCTTTCTCTTTTTCTGTGCAAAGGAATTGGTTAGGAACTTGCAAACTCCCACTTACACGAAATATGTCTGAACTTCCTCAACTTTGCACCTATTTGGATCAAATGGACCTCATCTATGAGCCAATGAAGGATGCTTTAAAAAGATTTCTAAAACAAAAGACACCCACAGACTCCCTGGAAAAAAGTAAGTCGGTGCTTACCTTGAGATTTATTATGGGTGTTAAGCTGTGTTGCTGGAGTCATTAACAGGTTAAAGATCTCGGTGAGGAAAAAACATCCCTGAAGGAGACTATGGCAAATGCCTTCTATATTGTTGCCAAGTGATTATATGGATGTGTCTAACAAAGTCATCAGGAATCAAGCTTAACTTGAAGGACACTTGACTTTTTTAAGGATGAATGCAGGTAGTCCTTGACTTACGACCACGATTGGGATTGGAACTTCCATTGCTAAGCAATGCAGTCATTAAGTGAGTTACACCCAATTTTACGACCTTTTTTGCTGTGGTTGGTAAGCGAATCTGGCTTCCCCCTTTGACTTTGTCAGAAGTCCCCTGGGAAGGTTGCAAATGATGATCACGTGACCCTGGGACGCTGCAACCATCATAAATTCATGCTGGTTGCCAAGCACCCGAATTTTGTTCACGTGACCGCGGGGATGCTGCAACAGTTGTAAGTGTGGGGACTGGTCATAAATCACTTTTTCCAGCACTGTCATAACTTTGAATGGTTGTTAAACAAATGATTGTAAATCAGTGACTATATATATATATATATATATATATATATATGTATGTATGTATATGTATATGTATATGTATATGTATATGATAGAATAATTGGTATTTTCTCAAAGTGGGAGAAAAAAATTAAAAATAAAATAAAAAGTTGCTTAGGAGTTTTTAAGGAATATTACCAGGCTGTCCTCCTATGTGTACTTACTTGGAAGTAAGTGCCACTGAACTAAATGGCTGTCTTCATTGGACATGCTGAACTACAAATTGTCCAGTCACATGTATTGTGCAGATTCACCCCATATGCTTAGTGGGACAGAGGACCTGCACAATGTAGTTGAGAATTCCCAAATAAAATGATCTAGCACACAGGTATAGGATAGGGGATCCCTGGCTTGGTAATAGAACTTGTGAAGATTGTCTTAGAATAGTTGTAGATTGCAAAATGATATGAGCCAGTAGTGTGATTTCTTGGATTTCCTTCCATGATCTAATCATTCATAAGGAAATTGTGTGGTTCAGGCTGCTGGGCATATTTCATTGCTCCATGAATCCATTCCTTTGTGTTGCAAAAGTATAAAAGTGCATCTTCTGCAATTTGGATTGTGTTTTGTAGATGCAGAGTGGGCAGCAGAAATAACAGCTTTTTCCCTCCATCATATTGTCAAAGTATATGTAGGAAGCCACTGGTATGCCACCTATTTGCAAACGTTATTAAAGGTATAATTATTAAGTATGTTTATGTTGCTCTAGAGTGGCTAATATTTAGGCTGCTTGTTGTAACGAGATCTAGAGAAAGCATGTTGTGTAACTAAGCTCAGAACGCAAATGGCAGATTGCATGGAGAGCTATGGGTCCCTTGAAAATTGACTTCTGGGATTAAAGAAAACTATCTTGTGCTCACTGGTGAAATGCAGACTGGAATGTGTGAGAGAATTCAAGTGTCATCCATTCCTTCTCCCTGAATGGTGGTGACCATAGGAAACTGCCTTATAGAGCTCATCCTCACATCCCACTAACCATTGCACAAACATGCCACGGAACTGTTTGTATGTCACATGTCCCCAGGATACTGCCTTTGTCTCGTCCACAACCCAGACCTGAGGCAGTTTAAAATCCAGGGATTTCGTTCACCTTCCAACACAATTTTTATCATGGTGCATCATGGCCCTATGTAGCACAATTCATCAACAATGTGGTTGGCCTCACGGTGGGCTCATCTGCCCAACTTCCATTGACCTCTGTTGCCTTGCGTAGCCATTTGGGGCTTGGACTGCAGGAGAGACCAGGCACCAGTGTTCTGTGGAAGCACCTCCTGGCAAAATGCTTGACTGGAGCTTTCCAAAGTGCTTGACAGATCATAAGGGGCTCTCTATAAACACAGGTTTAGCGCTCCAGAGCTGGAGCTTACCAGCTGTGTGATGCCAAGGAGTCCAGTGCAGGGTTTTTTTGCTGTTTTTGCTGACATGGGATTGGACTTAATATCGTTTTCAGTTCTTTGAGCCATTTTGCCTACTTTGCAGGCTATTGGGATGCTGCCAACCACAGCCACTTGCTGCTGGCACTGCTACTCCCTTATAGTGGTGGAGTGTGCTCCTTATTCCTGGCTCCTCCCCCCCATTCATCCTCCTCCCCTCCTTCAATCTTGCTGGCCTGACTGACAAGTTGCAGGCATGGAGGAGGGTTACAGGATGAAACGGGAAGGAAAGTCCATGTTCCTCACAATCCCTCCTCAACACTGTTGACCTGTGAATTGAGCAACTTGAAGGTAGGCTCTGGCCCAAGCACCTACTCATACTTGCCCAGCCCTTCCACCTCTTAAGGAGAGTGGTTGGTTGGTTAGTTGCCTGCTGACGGGATGCTTGGTGGGAGGGGAAACCAAGCCACAATTGCTGTCTTTCATTGGTCCCCCATTAAAAACAGGAAGGGCCGCACTTTCCACTAGCCTCATGCATGTGGCTGAACAGGGCTTGGAGGTTGAATTTCAGCCATTCTTATGCCAGTGTGCTCTTCTGCTGGTGGATCTCATTCTAATGTGGCTGCCTGGCACTGCCCTCCCTGAGTCAGTTCCCAAGTCTCAGTAGGTAACAGTAACTCTCCAGTTAAGATTTTTTCAGACTTTAAGAGCTATTCATTAATCTAGCATGATGGCACAGGCATCAAATTAATCCAAACAAGATTTTGGCATTTTTGAATGACATTGTGACATTTTAAAATTATTTTATCTGAGGCCAGGAGAGCCAAGGAACTTCTGGGTCCCTTAGGGCTACATTGGGTTGGTGCAGCATTGGCAGTTTTAGTCTTTAAAGACCAGCCAAACTGATAAAAGCATATTTTTTCACAACCTGAAGCTCAGGGCAATCAGTACATCTGATTTCTACAAAATATATATGCCGTGGTAAAAGTTTATTAGTTCTTAACGTTGCAAAAGACTTTTTTTTTACTGCAGCAAACTACTGTGACTGTTTTCCCTCTGGAAATCCGGGATAGAGCTCACGCTTTGCAGGAACAAGGAACCTGGGCCATTTGTGGTGCACATTTGCATCTGATATTATTCTGTCATTATGGTCTGTAGTAAGCTGTCTAGTTCTTCAGAGAATACAGATCTGTTAGCTATAGTCAGGTTTTTTTGGCAAGAAGAATAGTTGTTTCGATTTGAGAGAAAGCTTATGGAAAGAGCAGATTTGAAATCTCTTTTACCTTTTTTTCCTTCTAGTTTCCAGAGTTGTTGTCAAATTGCAAAAAGGTATATTGGATTGCTTATGGCCAGAGTCTCCTCATTCATGGAGATGGAAAAATTTTTCGACATGTTCTCAACTTCTTAAGACTTGGCAAGTTGTTCTTACCATCTGAATTTAAGTACGTTAAATATTATTTAATGCATATTATATATGGGATAACTAAAGAGCAGTTACACCTTAAGATAGAGATGGAAGTTCTCAGTGCATTTAATGGCTGCATCTCCCAACCATAATCTTTCTAGAAATAAGCCTTTGATTATTTCCTCCCCAAAGTTCGATTTTCTACATAACCATACCAATTTGTGTTTGCCAATTTCTTTCTTACATGTTGTTTCTGTTTTAATGACACCAGGGGGATGTAATTAATGTTACTAATTAACAACTTTTCAGAAATAAATCAGGACAACAAAGCTAAAATGTTATTTCAGAAATATTGATTATCATCACAAGTGAAGAAGGTAAGGGAATGTAAAGATAGATTATTTCTCCCGAACCTTGGAGATTGCATTCATCCTCTCAGGATGATGGCTCACCCTTGAGTGAGAAGTCATGTCCAACTTTGCATGTGGACTCTCCAGGCCAATCTCTTCCTCCAGTTTTAACTGAAATTGGTTCATCCCTCTAACTCTAGCTAGGAGAAAATCTTGTGAAGGATTTTGCACTTGGGCAGGGCCACAAGGTGTTGAAGTGGCAGAGCCCCAGTGCTGGTGCTTTGTGCCCCAAAGAACAGCTGGAGCAAAACAGAAATCCCCCTGCAGCAGAGGCTCTGCACCAGAAGAAGTGGCAGCATGAACAGAAGGCACTACCCAATGCACCCACTGCCATGCATGCCCCTTCCTGCCACCAGTGGGTCTCTTGCTCCTCTGCTCACTTTCAGGAGTGGGAAGGAAATGTGTGGCATTTCCCAAAGGGGAGTGGGCTAAAGAGCATCCTTGCTGTGAAACTGGAAAGATTAAATACTACTATGTAATCCCCACTTTGGATCTTCTAATTGAACAGTGTACAGATCAGTGGGGTAGCAGCCTAACAGAATGGACTTTGGGGGAGTGAAATGTCTTGTGCTTTGACCACTCCTTCCTTCCTTCCTTCCTTCCTTCCTTCCTTCCTTCCTTCCGTCCGTCGTAGAAGCAGAATGGCTCTGGGTGGTTTGTATTTAAAATAAGAAAACATTTAAAAGAAGTTAAGCATCCAGACAAATTGCACAACAACCAGCCATCCAAGGCTACACAAACACTCTAACCCAAGGCCTGGGAAAACAGCAACACTTTAAAAGATTTGGTTAGAGCTACAGGGATCTCAGGGGATATCATTCCTGAGTGCAGGCACTGCAACAGAGAAGGCATTCCTCCTGGGTCTTGATGGATGGCATTGTTTGATTAGAGACCTGAAGGACACCAACTCTGCCTGGTCTTACCGGACAGGCAGAGACATGGGAGATTGGCAGTCCCTCATACAGTATAATCTGGCCCTATGCCATGAAGGGCTTCATAGGTGATAACCAGAACCTTAAATTGCACCTGAAACCTACTCACACTCAGGGCAGGTCATGTAGCAGTGGTACCACGTGGGCATAGCGAGGCATGCCCAACACTGCCTGCACCACTGCATTCTGGACCAACTGCAGCTTCTGAATTGTCTTCAAGGGCAGCCCTGTGTAGACTGCATTATAGTAATCAGACTGAGGTGACTAGGGCCTGTGTGACTGTCTGTGGGGCCTCCCAATCCAGGAACAGGTGCAATTGGTGCACCAGATGAAGCAGTGCAAAGGCCCTCTTGGCCACAACTGCCACCTGCTTTTTGAGCAGGAGCTGTGGATTTTAAGATGATCCCCAGATTGTGCACCAATCTTGGATGAGGAAAGTACAACCCCATCGAAGACTAAAGATGGAAATTCCCCACATCCAGGGCCCCCCAAAATCCATAACTACTTGGCCTTGGCAGGACTGAGCCTGAATCTGTTCCTTCCCATCCAGACCTGCACAGTCTCCAGACACTGGGAAAGAAAATCGACAGTATCATTTGACTTGTCTGAGGTCAAAATGTACAGTTGGGATTCATCCTCATGGACACTGAACTGCAGGATGACTTCACTCAATGGTTTCATATAGATACTAAACAGGAGGGGAGAGAGCATTGAGCCCTGAGGGTTTGGTGAGAGGCCAAGGCCACTACCTCTCCCCCGTGAGCACTAACTGAAACTGGCCACCAAGAAAGGAGGAAAACCAAAGAACCAAACCCCACTGCCAGCCCAAAAGGATACTAAAAGCTGCTAAGAGATAAAGGAGCAGAAGGATGGATGCACCACCCCCATACTGGCTTTGCTGAAAGCCACCAGGAAGTGTGACCAATGCTCTCTCTATTTTGAATCTCAGCCTAAAACCCAACTGAAGCTGGTCCAGATAATCTGCTTCCTCTGGGTTCCTCTGCAACTGTTGTCTGACCACTTTCTCAACCTAAAAAAGGAAGGCTGGAGACAGGACCATAATTGCCCAAAATTATTGGGTCCAAGGATGGCTTCTTGAGGAGAGGGCACACACCACCTCTAAGTCTAAAGGTACCTTCCCCTTCTTCAAAGAAGCTGACACCCACTGCGTGGACTCAAGTACAGGTCACCTTTTGGGCAGCCTTAACAACCTAGGAGGGCCCAAGTCTAATAAACAGGTGGCTAACCTCACAGTTTGGAGGACAGTCTACCATCTTAGGAGTCACAGATTCAAACTCATCCCAGATAACTCCATAAGACTGTGTCCCATGCACTTCAGCTGGACTTGCTCAGTTGGAGTGCAAATCTGAGCAACTTTATCTACCAGATACACTATTCTTACAGCAGTCCTGCAGATGTTCTTGTAGCCCATCACTCCCCAGCAGGGACTGAGGTCACTTTAAATAGGGTTGTTGGACAACTCTCGGCAGATACAATAAGGACAGAGAAATACTGATGTTTTGCTGCCCTTATTGCCACAAGGCAATCCTGAAAATGGACTCTCGTGCTTCAGTCAGACTTGCTCTTCATCTTCCAATGATGGGTCCATGGTTATTTATTTATTTATATTTATATAGTCGCCCATCTCACACAAGGCATACAACAACTAAAAAAAATACATAAAAACAACTACATATAAAAAACAGTAAAAACATGCAAAACAGGAGGGGATAAAATTAATAAGGGAGCCATTGTAAGATCTCCCTGGTCCCCTGGGAACCCCAGGCCTGATCACGTGGCCAGGTCTTGAGGGACTTGCAGAATGTTAAGAGGGATGGAGCTAATCTCACTTCCAGGGGGGAGAAGATTCCACAAGGCAGGTGCCACAGCAGAGAAGGCCCGCCTCCTGGGCCCTGCCAAATATAATTCTCTAGCAGACGGGATCCATAGCATCCCTTCTCTGCCAGATCTGATGGGACGGGCAGATGTAATTGGGGAGAGGTGGTCCCTCAGGTAACCTGTGAACTCCTAAGCTGCCCCAGGTGCAATGTTGCTAAGAGGAAAATTGCAATTCCTGAGAATCCATAGTCTTGAGGTCTCTTGCCAGCCTGGTCACAGGCAGCAGGGAGAGTAGTACCCCAGCCACAGTCCCAACTAAGGCCCAATTATAACCAGAGCATCTCTCATCGGGTCATCTGTGAAGCAGAGATTCTTCAACAACCCATGGATGAAAACAGCCACACACAGCCCTTCCCTGAACTCTCAGCTGGTAGAAAATTTGAAACCTGGGTGGGCATAGTTCTGAGAGGGAAACACCCTCCTCTTACCCCATCCACATCTGTCAGGTCAGCATGGATGAGAGAGGACTTATTGCAGGCTGACCAAGTTGCAACCGAAGTCCAAGGCCTCCAAGGATCCAGTAACCAGGAATTGAGAGTGGAAGCTGAGGGCCAGACCACTCTCAAACAGCAGACCCAATATCTCTGAGTATGGCCTGTCCTCTCATCCCTGCCATGCTTACCTCTGCTGGTCACCATCTCAATGTTTCTGCCTGCCGTCTCATCTCCCCCACCACCTCCCACCCTACCCACCACCCTTTCAGGTCAAAGGTAATCATTCCCTCACACACTCACCCTTCTCATGCACCATACTTACCACGCACAACACATTTGCAGTCACCTCAACATGTCATGGGACCCCAGGCATCCTCTGACTGTTCCTGTCTTCAGTGCTCACCAGCCTATGAAGTGTCAGGTCTCTGTGATAAGCTACACCAGAACCCAAGCAGACCATATCCCCATCCCTCCCCCTTCCCATCCAGTGGGAAGAGGATCACAGTCCTGAATAGTTGGGTAGTTGGGAGAGATATTACCCTCAAGTCCAGGAAAGTAGACTCAGTGGTATATAGCCTCAAGCTCAGCCCAGCGGGCAACAAGCTAGAGCCATAGAGAGCCTAGATTGAATAAGGAGGCCTGTCAATGAACCAAGTGCTTCTAACACTGGTGCTGCACAACTTGCACCAAATTCTTTTGTTCTCTTCAGTGCAACTGCCCCCACAGGCAAAAAACACCCCTGGAATTCAGACCAACCCCTGGGGGTGATGGCAAAACATGGAAGGGCTTAAACAGCTGCCAGCCACTTAGAAGTCAGACCAGCCTCCTACTATGCTTTGCCCCACTAGTTGCCAGTCAACATAGTATGCTTCAGTTGGTTCCTGCTGGCTCCAAGCAGACTGTTCCACTCTTTGCAGGCTCTAAAACTGCTGGCTTCAAGGATTCCACTGATTATATTGACATTGCTGGTATTGGTCGTGCTAGCACCAGTTTCACCAGCCTCGGTTATCCTGGAGATACTAGTGCTGCTGGTGCTGGCATTTCCCCAGGAGACAGACAAAAATGGAAGCTACTAAAAAGTCATTTCTCATGTGCTTGGGACTCCTAATTCCTTGCTCCACCAAGCCTGAACATTTGAGGAAAAGGGATGAAACTGATACAGGGGTGAGTCAGCAGTACTAAATGTCTAGTTTTTCCCCCACTGGCATGGGCCTTCCTGATTCCTTCTCCTTATCCATGGTATGTATGTGTGCATAAATATGGAGGTTTTATATTAAGACTCCAGCTCCATGGATAATGAAACATCCTCTGGGCCTGAGACTATGGTCAAGGAAGGCTTCCATGGGCAGCAGTTGCTTTACATCTAACCAGCACATACCATCTTCTCAGAGCAGTGGAGGGAGCATTAACCCTCTGGAGAGGCTTTGCACCTAATCAACACAGATTAAGGTGGAGCATTTGTCAGAGAAATTGTGTCAGGCAACATATTGATTTAGGTGCATTGCTATATAGCATTGCTAAAAGGAGCAAAACCCACCAATTTTTCAGTTGATTCCTTGGATGCGTGCCTGCCCTTCATAGACTTCTTTAAATTAAGGAAAAGGAAAATGACTTTGTTGAGAAATTGTTACATCTAATATGGGAAGACCATGGTCACAAATACTAACGTTGTTCAAGTCTTTAGGAGGAGGAGGTGTCAATAGGACCAAGTTATTTCTTGAGTTAGAATTTCAAAGCAGCTGCTTGAGCCTTGATCGTGTTAATCGAGGGAAAACATCACATCTAGATAACAATTTTTTTCATAATTTTTTTGCATGCAAAAGAGCCCATTTAGGGTATGACTTCAGCTTTCTGCTCAATACGGGTTCAGTCTCTGCTTAAACATATCCAATAGTTACCCAGTTGAACTGTTCTTCCTGTTAGGAAGTTTTTTTCCCTAACATTCCATTGAATTCTGTCTTTTATAGAATCAGAGTTGGAAAGTACCTCAGGGGCTGTCTAGTCCAATCTCCTACTCATTGTAGGATCTGCTAAATATTTGAAGATCTCAGGTAAAGGGGGACATGCCATCTCATGAGGTAGCCTATCTACTGGTTGACAGCTTTTAGTCAGGAAATTCCTCCTAATCTAACCTGAATCTATTCCCCTATAGTTGCAATCCGTTGGCTTTGATTGTGCCCATCAGGATGCCAGTGAACAAGTCTGCTCCCTCCTCTCTATGACAATCCATGTTTGAAGTCCACTTTCAGTCTTCTCCTCTGCCCAGTCACTTTAATAATTCCTCATAGGAGATCTTAACAAGCTTTGGAAAACACTATCCAATACTATGCCAAAATCAAGATATACTACTTCCACAGAATCCTTTAATTTCCAAATTGAGTATCTCTCACAAAAGGATCTGATTGGTATAATGTACCATATTCTGTCTGAGCACATATTAGTTTTTCAACACCTTGTTACTGCATTCTCTTTCAGATGATTGCAGGTATAATATGTTCTGGAATTTTAGATGGTACTGATGTCAGGTTAACCAAACTAAGTTAATATAGAGCTTCCTGCCCGCTTTCTTTCCAAGAGAAGGGAAACATTTTCCCATCCCAAGACTTCTGGCATCTCATTCATTTTGAAGGAATTCTAATGTACTATAAGGAGCTGTCTTTAAATACAGATAGTCCTCATTTAACAATGGTAATTGGGACTGGCAACTCCATCGCTAAGCAACAGGGTCATGAAGTGTGATGACATGTGACCATGCCAACTTACAATGGCAGTTGTAGCAGTTCCGGTCACCATTGTTAGGCAAATCCCATGCAGTTGCAGCATCCCGTGGTCACATGATCGCCATTTGCAACCTCCTGCTGGTCAGAAGCCAGCAGTGAAGGTTGCAAATGGCAATCACATGACCATGGGACGCTGTAATCATAATTGTGAGCCAATTGTCAAGCACTTGAATTGCAATCATGTGAGCGTGTGTATGCTGCAATTATAAGGAACAGTCATAAGTCCCCTCATTCAGCACCCTCGTAACTTCCAACCATCACTGAATGAGGACTACACTGCAGACTTCTTTACTCTCTGGGGTATAATTCATCTAGCTTTGGGAGACCTGTTCATCTGTTCCAGGTTGCATGTCTGCCCTTATATTATTTGTTCTATTTCCCAGGTGGAACACACACACACCCTTGTGAAGAAAGGTCTTTTTCCTTCATCCTATTATCTTTTAATGCTGCACCATCATTCCCAGGCAGTTCTGTGCCCTTTGTATTTTTCTTTCCCTGAAAAAAGGGAATTTTGTTTTCAGCATCTGCTTGCAAGCTTCTTAATTGAGCTTGAATTCTGATTCCATCCTGATAGGTACCAGCTATTATATTGTCTGTAGAAGGGGGACAAGTGATGAAAACGTAATTACTTGCATGTGACATCACAGTACAAACATGAAGACACAGCTTGCATTGCGATATTGTGACCTGTATTTCATCATTTTGGATCATTGTGGTTAGGAATAGATCATAAGGCCAACTCTAGCATTACTCCTTGGTAATGATTATATCACTTTTACATCCCACCTCTTTGGAAAGCTCGATCAGTCAAACTGGCTTCTTTATGTGATTCCATTTTCCTTCTAATGGGTGGAGGAATAACCTGGCTGGATCACACCAAAGGGAAGGTCTATTTTAGGGATGTTTCATACACAGATCAGGCAATCCTGGGCAATCTGTGGATGGAATCATATTTGCTTTTTCTCTGTGTTCTGGCAGAGGGACACCAGGTGAAAGGAAGGGTATGCAGGAATAGAGGGGTACATTAGCTCCTTTAAGTGAGTTCTGGGAGGGAAGTTTGGCCGCAAAGAAAGGCATCAAGGTGATGGGCTTGAATTCAAGGCAGGAATAGCTAAGGGAGAGCCAGGGGAGGAAGGCGTGGAAAGCTTGGCAGGGGGGCTGGCCCACAGGCCATGCAGAGAAGGAGGTGAGAGAAGGACAAGATGTGCCTGAGCTGAAACCCAGATCCATCTAATTGGTCCAGGTTTTGCTTTGGCCAAGTTTCTCTGGACATGGAACAAAACACATTTTTTGCTTTGCACACACTCTACCTTTTGTTTTACAGAATAGTCAGATCAACCCAAGAAGCCCCCTGGCAGGCCCTCTTACAGAGTTGCTCTTCAGCAATTGGAACATAAGGCTTGTTGCCAAGTACACTTACCACCCATGACTGCTCTTGGATGTTTTCCAACCTTCCCTAGTTTAAAAGCTTCCTGTTTTCTTTAGAAACTACAGGCCCCTCAGAACCTTCCCTGTGATCAGTTGGATCCTGACCATCATCACCAGGAAGCCCCCTCTCTGTTGGAGAGCCCACCTGGCTTTCTCCCTTCCTCACAACTACTAAGAAACTGGATTCCAAATGTATTGAACCATTTCCTATACTTCCACAGATTGATACTGTAGCCTTTCGTAGGCAGCTTCCAGCCATATTGAAGATACATCCTTTTTGCCCTCTTTCTTTCCTGGTTTTGGAACTTCTTACTACCCTTGTACATCCAGTTGCAAATCCAATTTCAGATTAAACAGAACACGGATAGGACATAGATTGTTTTGCTTCAGCCGGCTTGTCTTAAACCTCCCTGTTCTGTTTTCCAGTGAGTTTTAGGCTGCCAGTCACAGGTCTCCCCAGTCATGAGGAGCGTAGCAGTCCATGTTCAGTACATCTTGACCAGGATACCAGAGACCTCGCTTTGCCTTTGGTTGGTGTCCAAAATGCCAGCACTCTTACTATTCCGGGCCGTCCTTATTTTGCCTCTGCTCTGTCAATGGTTGCCTCGGCTGTGAATTTGAGAAAGAGTCCGGTACAAATGGAGAGCACATGGGCACAGCCAATGTTTTGGAAAGCCCCCTGTGTGCTTGACCCAGTTATTGGGCCAGGGTCACTTGGTTCTGCCGCACATTAGAAGAGCCTTGTCACGGTCCAGAGCTTTTCCTCCCCAGCTCCTGTTCTCTGGAATTGATGTCCACCAGCTTTATGCTTGGAAGGGGATTACTTAAAGTTTAAAAAAAGCTGCTTTTTCATAAATTTTAGATGCCAGTTTGAATGTTTAGAAATCAATATGATTATTATGCGTCATGGACCTTTTAGCTTGAAAGCTTCTTATATTATGATGTTATAACTGATTTAATTTGTTATTGTCAGTTATTGTTTTGTTCTCTTCACCGTGTTTAGTTATCCTATTTTGAAAGGATAAGGTTACAGAAATCTTAGCAAATGGATTACTTTAACTTTAGAGCTCAATTTATCTTACAGTTCATTAAGTAGATTGTGGTTCACTTTCTTGTCGGTGGCCTCCCTGGAAACTAGGAAGCAGAATGTTCAACTGAGGCAATTGCAGGGGCTATTTTCCAACTGTTTCTTTAATCTTTTTCAGAATCTAAACAGATAATTGCACAATGTGCAGTTATGGACCCTGCTGGCTCCAGGACTGGAATAGTTTCCATGCCAGTTTAGTCAGTGAGCTGGGGAGTATAGGTTCAAATGGTGGTGTGGCCCCACTAACTTGTCCCTGGTCGGTCCCTGCCATGGCTTTGTCTGGACATCAGACAGTGTTTGTAGAGACACTCTTAAAGAATCTAGTACTGTTCCTGGATGAGAAGATGGAATTGCAACATGTTCTCCATAATGCTCAGCTATACCATTGCTCATGTCAATGGTATAATCATAATTATAGTATTTTTTTGCTTTTTTGTTTTTTTAACTTTAGCAAAAGTTAGTAGAGAATCTCAGTACAGTTGATTTGAAATGATTTTGTTTTTCCCCCCATGACAGGGAATGGTCACTTTTGTGCCAGGAAGTGGTAGAGTACCAGATCCCTTCTCTATTGGAGGCTCTTTATCAGTATGACATGTACAGGTATTTTTTTCTTCTTCTTGATTCTGTGCGCATCTCTCACTGATGCTCAGAAGAAATAAAATTGATTGTATTAGTAAGAAGCAGGAGGACTGGGTGAAGAGGAACAAAAAATGGAAAGAGAGGTACAGAAAACCAGCAGACAGCTGAGTGGCTGTCCAAGAGGAGAGAGAGGCCGGGCCTGTCTCTTGGTGCAGTAACTCCCTTCTGAATGCGAGCCCTGCTCTGCTTCCTTGTGTTCCAGGATGCTGTTCAGGAAGGCAGTTTTAAGCAGCTGGGGTGGGGGTGGGGGACATTTGAACAAGATGCAAAAGTTGGTTAGCTTGGGCTTTGGCCTAGAAATGATCATGACGGTTGATTGAAGGGACAGAGTAAGCTGCCCCTCAAAATCTTTTTCTCCTGCCCTTTAGGTAAAAGAAAAAAAAATCTTCACATAGTTTTCCCCTGTTCTTGACTTTAACTCTTAATAGGAGAAGATTAATCATGACTAATATTTCCATTATTGAGGCATAGAAAGTGTTTCTTAAAAATGATGTGAAATGTTTGTGTTCCAGATTATGGGTACAACAGCAGGAAGTTCAACATGTAGCTTATCCATTTAGAAATCTTGAGTCTCCAACATCAGAGAAGGAAGTTGGATCCAATGAAGTCCCTCAAGATGTAATGTTATTTTTTATTATTAATATTAATATTATCATCATCAGTAGTAGTAGTAGTAGCAGTACAAGGGAAGCAATGCCAGTTGTCTGTTAAATCCAAATTATGCAATTATGTAATTGACATAAATGGAATAATTTACAATAAAATATTTGTATTATAGTTTATTATTATGAGGAGAGAAAAAGAAAGAAGACATGAGAAAAAAGAGGCAAGAAATAAAACAAGCGTCATAGAATTACATTAAATTTTTCAATATTTATTATTATTATTCAATATATATTTAAGTAACTATAGATCATTGTTAAATATCAATGATCAGCACAAAATAAATCATAAAATAGGCTTGAATTACAATAATTTCTATCCAAGCAATTAATAATTATTAATAATAACAATTAATAATATAAATGTGACATACATATGTACATAAATAAATAAAAGATCTATCCTCATTTTACAGATCATTGAAGGGTGGAATATTCAGATTTTGACCCAAATTTTGATTTTGGTACAAGTTCATATAAAAAATTATAATCGAAAAATGGTTTCTAAATTTACTAGTATTCTGTGTCAGCTTTACTTTTGAAATACTAAGTTAGTATTATAATTATTATTATTATATTAATATTATAAAATTAGCCAATTTTTTCTGCAGAACTAGCCTTACAGCAATTACCCTGTACAAAGATTGTTTGGTGTACTTTATGGGAATGTAAAGTTTAGTAATATTTAATTAAAAATAGGTTGGAAAGAAAAGTCAACTTTTAGAATTTGTTTCATTCTATTATATATCAATTACCAACATTGTTGAGTTTTACAGCATTGCCACCAAATATGGAAAAATAATCCAACCTGGTGGTTGTATTTCTAACAATTTTAGAGAATGGAATGTCCATTTTAGCAATCAATATAGGAGTGACATACCAGGGATAAAACCTCTTACACTGGTTTTCTCCAAGTACAATACTTGGTGTGAATTTCATATTCATCTTCTATTGCTTGCTGTTCACGTTCTAACAAGCTGCACATCCCACCATTACCAGTTAAGAGAACAGCCTCCTCACCAATTCCCATGACTAAGAGACTGAAAAAGTCTCTCCTTAGGAACCTAAGGAAAAACAACCCTGTTGATGGGATTTCTGTATCCTTGTCCTATATTATTTCAATACATTTTAGTAAAGGAACTCTGGTACCTCATTAGTGGCACAGTGATGACCAGCTAGGGCTTCTTTCCCTTCTGAGAGAGACAGACATAAAATATGATTTTTTAAATTTTATTTATTTATTTCATATTTATTTCAGTCATTGACCAATAAAAATACATACAATAAAACAGACAACAATATTACTTTCATCAATAACTATTAGCAACCATTTGCAGGCGAAGCTTACACATTATGTAGCAAAATTTTGCAACTTTTAAGGAAATAGATTTATCCTGTTTATTTAGCAAATAGTGCAAATAAAAATTATCAGAATGCCTGGGGAATTTAAATAAAAGAGGGATAATCAGCTGAAAGCGAATGTCCCTATAAAACTAACAATACAAGAGAACATGGACATAAAATATGAGTTAAAGTTTTCTCGCCATCACTGTTACGAGTTCACCCCTTTCTCCTCTTTGCCTGTTGTTTCTGACATACCCCCCAAAGGCTTTTTTGTTGTTGGGGGCAAATTTATTTTATTTTATTAAAGATTTTTTAAAAGGAAGATAAAAACTAATACAAACTAATATAAAGTAAGAAAAAGAAAGAAATCAGAGAAAGCTAAAAGTGCAAGAAAGGGGAAAAAAAGAAAAATGGAAAAGAATTTAAAAAGATACAAAGAACTATGGAGTCCTTGGGGTTCTCTGAGCTTGGTTCTTTTCTTGCAAACGTTTCATTACCCAGCCAGGGAACATCTTCAGCGCTAGAATGGGGTGGGGGTTGCTCTCTGTTTATATACTGTGGCATGCCCTGCCAGTGCTGGTGGGGGTGGGGGTTTGTTTTGTTTTTTCCATCTGGTAGTTCCTTGATTAGGGTATTGTTTACTGTTATCCATGCCACCCAACTTTCAGGTCATGTCCTTTAAACTCCAAAAGCCTTCTATTTCTCAGCAGCACCCACTCTTTCATCCAAACCAAACAACATGTGCTTTAGCCTTTGCTTTGGATGCAGCCCTTTTTCCGCCTCTTATACAAGCCTCGTTTTCTTTTTATAATTTTAGAAAGCTCTGGGTGAATCCATACTGACCACTTCAGATATCTCTCATTTTTCTTTTCAGTAGGAATTGTTTGTTGTTGTACCCTCAGTATCTCATTCCATGGAGTTTCCCATCCTAGCTCTACATTTTTCTGTTTCAGGATTTCAAGTAATAGAATCCGACCTATCTTATCAAAGTTCATCAAAATGCAGTCTTCAGAAATGCAGTATACCAGTCTGATTCTCCTTTACTCCTTGTCCCCTAGATATGAATTCAAGGATAACAAGGTCACTTTCTTCTAAGGAATCAGTCACCTTCACTTCTTTACCCCATTCCTCCTTATACAATGCAATAAAATGTTAAACTGTACTAAAACATATAAACCAGTGCCATTGTTAATGGAGCAATGCCATCATGTCATGCCTTTATACCAAGTTGGAAAAATGTTTTCTGCATGCGCCTGAATTTAAATCTTTTAGATATAGGGGAAAAGCTAAATGACTTACTAAATACTATGGCTTTCTTAGATCATCAGTTTTAAATTTTTGGTGGATTTCAGAATTCTTGGCCTGATTTATACTGTGTGCGTGCGTGCGTGCGTGTGTTTTCCATTTCCCATTTTTGAGCACTGCAGAAAAAAGTAACCTCATCCTACTTTAAACACAGGTCAAAACAACCATTTTTTTCCTAATCAGTTTCTAGTATAATATACAGCAAGACAGAGCAAGTTTCTACATTTACCATCAGCTTTAATAGTATTCATATATGGCCTTTCAATGCTGCTTTTCCTATTCTTACCTGAGCAACATTGCTGCTTTTAGCTGCATTTGGTTATTTTATCTTATAATATCTACAAGTTCTATAATATCTTCTTTTTCTGCTCTAGTGGTTTTATGGAATAGAATAAAATATTGTACCAGTGCAAGCCTATGGGGTACAACATCCTCAGTTTATAGGACTGCAAAATATCTCTGTCACCACCTACTCCTGTTTGTAGCTCATAGGTGTGTTTTTCTTACAGGCCTAGAAATGGATGGTTTACATTGGAAAAAATTGATTCTCTGATAGCAGATATTTTAAAATACACTCAGCAGAAATCATTTTTGGATTCACGTAAGGGAAGAAAGAATAATTTCACAATTTTTTCTTCGTGTTTTAGGAGGACCATCCAAACCTAATTTATTTTTATTTCCCATCCCCTGCCAGCAGTTACTTTGTTGGTACTAAGCTGATACTTGGATAGATGATCCAATTGAAAAAATATAGGTGCAGTTTGATAGTATAAATATATACTATTTATTAATTATTAAATTAATTATGTTTTAATGCAAAAATTTCTCTTCTTTTTTGAAGCATTTGCATATTGCTGTGGATTTAGATCAGTGTGCCAATAACTGGAATATAACTAGAGAACCACGATATATGGAAGAGAGTGATAGAGAGAATGCAAAATACACTAGCATTTCCCCAATTAAGGGAGCAAAGCGAAGAAATCCCTGGGAAATGTACAAGTCCTCCGATGATTGGGGAAACTCCTGCTTTTTCAGACAGCCAGGAAGCCCCCCAAAGAAAAGAGGAGCAAAAGGCAATTTAATGAAACAACCGGAAAGCAATGATCCTCCCATTCAGAAGCTCATTTCCCTTGTACGAGGATGGGATATGGATCACTGCAGATGCTGTGGAGCTTCCCAGGGACCAGGGTCTAGCGAGGAATCTAAAAGGAGAGCGTCCAGTAGGATGCCGCCTGCCAGTTGCTTTGGAATCTCCAGCCTTGAACTCCCGAGGAATGATGTGGTCATCCAAGCTGCACCAAGAGCACAAGGAAACCTGCCCAAAGCTGGACTTTGCAAGCAGAGCCCCATGCCTACCCAGGGTTGGCTTATACAGACTGATGAACCAAGCAGTTCTGAGGAGATGCACTCATTAGGGAAAAGTGCTGTCTTGAAGGAACAGAGTGACCAGAAAGAGAAAGGTGAGTGGGAAACTTTGACTAGCTGCTTGTAAATGAGTTAGCAAAGTAAATTCAAGTGATACAGGTTTTATCCGGAATAAGGGACTGTTCTTCATTGCTTATTTATCCCAGAAATCAGGGGTTCCTTAGAAGTTGTAGGTAGAACTTGGAAATGGGTATTTTCTGCCCGAACCTTCTATTTTTAATTGCATCCTGTACAGGAGGAAGCATTAGCGATCAACTTCTTGATCAGTTAGTCATGTTCCTTGGAGTAGTTAAAATTGCTCAGTAATACTACATCATGCTCTTTCAAACTTCAAAAAGAAATAAAAACATGAGAGAAAGACAGCAGAGTTAATCACCTATCAATATACTACAAGGGTCTGCTTCTTTTACACATATGCAACCAATTACTCTAAGAATGATGGTCCAGTTGCAGTTTTTCAAAGTAGAAAATATTAGTTTGAATGTTGGAGAAAATATTATCTTCCCACAAAAAAAATCTGTAATAACAGGGGTTGAGCACATTGGGTGAAAGGTGGGCAATATTAAGGAAATTTGCAGAACACTTTATTTTAAATTCTGGAATTGGGAGAAGTGGAGCACACACATCTCTCTCTACCTTGCTATAGCCTCCTCCCTACAAAAGTTTACATAGGTAAATATTAAATTAATATGACAATGCAAACAAAGGAGAGGAAACATAGAAACAATGAAAGAGGGAATATTCTGATGAGATTTTGGAGGTCAAGAGGTTGAGCTGTTAACAGTGATTAAGAAGAGTGCTGAACACAGTGATTCATGATGTATTTGAGATACCTGCACTTAACAAAAGTCTCAAATGTAAGCAGGAAGAATTTTAAGCAATGTATATTTGTGATTAGGTGATGGTCAATCTGTTGAACTTCATCATAGAGACCCAACAAGTCTCTTAGGTGAGAAACTTAATCTCTTTAGTGGTGGGGGAAAGATCTAGTGATACCAAGATACATTGGAATAACAGTGGAAAAGCAGAGAGGGAAATGTAGTGGTAGAGGAAGAAGGAAGAAAATATAGAGGGAGGTTTGGCCTTTTCTTCTTAGTAACAGAATTAACAAAGAAAAGATATAGGAATATAAAATGTCCATAACAGATGTGAATCTTCCTCTTCCTTTCCTACCTTGATACAGCTGTTTAGTCACTCCTCTTCCACCACTTACCTTCTTGGGAGCTGCCTTTACCTGGTGTCCTCCCCCTTCCCCCTAGCAAGTGGGACCCCCCTCTGTATTCTTACTTGCACTCCACCACCACCAACACCACCCCGCATATCTTACCTTAAGAAAGGATAAAAGAACAGAGGAACAAAAAATGGTACCACCATGGGAATTTATTATAGATCACCTGGGCAGGCAGAAGATACAGATGAGGTCTTTCTACATCAGATGGCCAGTCTTTCAAATAAGCTTGCAACAGGAGATTTCAATTATCCTGACATCTGCTGGGAATCTAGCTCTATCAAGAGTCAAAGTCCCAAAAAGTATTGTCCTCTATCACTGACAACCTAATTTGTCAAAGAGTGGAAGAAATAACAAGGGAGTCTTATTATCCTGGACCTAACCCTTACCAACAGGGAGAAATTGAGAAAGTGAAAATGATAAGCAGAATGGGGGATATAGTCATGTTATCTTGGAATTTGTGATACCCAGAGGCAGAGGAACAGAGAAGAGCCAGACCTGCACACTGGACTCAGAAGAGCAGATTTTGAATGGCTATGGAAGGGAGATCATATATAATGGCTTGAAATCTTGAGGGTTGTGAAAATCTATGATGCAAGATGCTGAAGGACCAATTGCAAACAATTCCTACAATAAAAAAAAAAAGGGAGAAATCTAAAGAGGTCAGCGTGAGACAGAGCTCTCTAAAATGTTGAAGAGAAGGGACAAGGAAAAGAAAGAATAATAGAGGGGAGTCTCCCAGAAGACTGGAGGAGAACCCACATCATCCCTATCCTCAGAAAGAAGATGGAGGAGGACCTGGGAAACTATAGACCTACCAACTTTGATTTCTGTACTCGGCAAGATCTTCAAACAGTTTATTAACACCATGTTTGTGAGCACTCGGGTAGGCATATTACAATTAACAAGAGCCAGCATGGGTATCTTGCAAACAAATTGTGCCAGATTAACTTTATCTTCTTGATATACTAGCTTAGTAGATCAAGGCAGTGCCTGTAGACATAGTGTACCTGGACCTCCGCATAGCCTTTTGAGAGTGCACCAATATTTTCCTTCATCAGATATTAAAATAAGTACCAGGTGATACTACTGCTGGATGGACTCCCAATTGGCTGAATGAGTGCACCCAAAGAGCAGTCATTAATAGCTCCACTTCAGCTGGAAGAAAGTATCAGTGGAGTGCCAGACAGCTCTGCCTGTGGCCCTGTGAGGTGTAACATGATTTATTAAAAAAAGTATCACTCTACTCTGCCCTGGTCACAGCCCACTTACAATATTAATATGTAATTCTGGGCTCCACCATTCAAAAAGAGAGTGACAAATTGGAGAAAATTCAGAGGAGAACTATCAGGGATATGGAAATCAAGCTCTGTAAAGAATGGTCAAAGGGCCCAGAGAGTCAACCAGAACCAATGGCTTAAAACTACAAGAAAGATTCAGGCTAGACACCACAAGGAATTTCCTTACTCTACATGCTGTGTGGCAGTGGAACAGACTGCTACATGACATGGTAAGTTCTCCTGTGCTATTTGTCTGGCTGGTCATCTGTGAGAGGTGGATCCTGCATTGAGCAGGGGGCTGGATTAGATGGCCTTTATGGTCACTTCCAGCTTTATGATAATATGGACAGATACTGTAGAAGAACTCAGCTGGCCCCAATATAATAATCTTGATACACAAAAGTTA